CTTCCCTATCTTCATCAACATTTAACAATTCCTCAAAATATTCCCTCCATCTTCCCAATACCTCTAACTCTCCATTTAATAACTCTCCTCTCCTATTTTTAACTGACAAATCCATTTGTTCTCTAGGCTTTCTTAACTTGTTAATCTCACTCCAAAACTTTTTCTTATTTTCAACAAAATTTGTTGATAACATCTCACCCGCTCTCTCATTTACTCTCTTTTTACATTGCTTCACCACTCTCTTAACCTTTCTCTTTTTCTCCATATACTCTTCCCTCCTTGCATCACTTCTACTTTGTAAAAACTTCTCATATGCTAACTTTTTCTCCTTTACTACTCTCTTTACATCATCATTCCACCAATCGCTCCTCTTCTCTCCCGCACCCACTTTCCTGTAACCACAAACTTCTGCTGAACACTCTAACACTACATTTTAAAACCTATCCCATACCTCTTCGCCCCATTGCCTATGCTCTCATTAGCCCATCTATCCTCCAATAGCTGTTTATATATCTTACCCTAACTGCCTCCTCTTTTAGTTTATAAACCTTCACCTCTCTCTTCCCTGATGCTTCTATTCTCCTTGTATCCCATCTACCTTTTACTCTCAGTGTAGCTACAACTAGAAAGTGATCTGATATATCTGTGGCCCCTCTATAAACATGTACATCCTGAAGTCTACTCAACAGTCTTTATCTACCAATACATAATCCAACAAACTACTGTCATTTCGCCCTACATCATATCTTGTATACTTATTTATCCTCTTTTTCTTAAAATATGTATTACCTATAACTAAACCTCTTTCTATACAAAGTTCAATCAAAGGGCTCCCATTATCATTTACACCTGGCACCCCAAACTTACCTACCACACCCTCTCTAAAAGTTTCTCCTACTTTAGCATTCAGGTCCCCTACCACAATTACTTTCTCACTTGGTTCAAAGGCTCCTATACATTCACTTAACATCTCCAAAATCTCTCTCCTCTCCTCTGCATTCCTCTCTTCTCTAGGTGCATACACGCTTATTATGACCCACTTCTCGCATCCAACCTTTACTTTAATCCACATAATTCTTGAATTTACACATTCATATTCTCTTTTCTCCTTCCATAACTGATCATTCAACATTACTGCTACCCCTTCCTTTGCTCTAACTCTCTCAGATACTCCAGATTTAATCCCATTTATTTCCCCCCACTGAAACTCCCCTAGCCCCTTCAGCTTTGTTTCGCTTAGGGCCAGGACATCCAACTTCTTTTCATTCATAACATCAGCAATCATCTGTTTTCTTGTCATCCGCACTACATCCACGCACATTCAAGCATCCCAGTTTTATAAAGTTTTTCTTTTTCTCTTTATATATATATATATATATATATATATATATATATATATATATATATATATATATATAAACAGATAAGACACTGTATATATGTCTTTTTCACAGGTGTTCTACCAACGGGACTAACACCTAAAATCGCAACATCGCTGATGTCAGGAGCTCAGGATAACACGCAGCATCTGTGACTGACTCTGGATATACCCAGAGGGACCTTAACGTGTTGGCTCAGCGCTCCAGGTGCAAATGGATGTGGGACCAGGTGCAAAGCAATCAACTTTGTTTATAAAAATGTATAATTTATATTGAGTATTTTAAACCGTTATAGGGATTCCTGAAAGCAGTGGTGGCCAGACTTAAGAGGAGTTCTTTCTCTTCCTCTTCAGTAACAACATCTGATAGCCTCGGTATAAATGGTAAGCTCTGCTGGTACATTGTACCATTTGCGTTTCTCATGTACTACCGTTCTCCCCGGAGACAGTGGCCGGGATTTTATGAGTGGCACAGTCGGCGGCGTCGAAGGCAAACAGCAGCAGGCTGGGTGATCGTTCCCGCCTGTAGCAGAACCCACAGCAGCAACAGTAGCAGCAGCAACACCAGAGGAGGAGGAGGAGGGGCAATAGCAGCAGCAGCAAACGGGTAGATGGGATGGTAAAGCCGACAGTTCCAGGGATGGCGACAGCGTTCTTCATCTGGCTGGATGCTGTATAAATCTCTGGTTGTCTGACACAAGCTAGTAGTGTCTTGTCTCTGCCGCCCACGTCATCATTTTATGCAATTACTTTTATTTAAATACAGTAGCAAAAGTTTTTTATATTGCTGTTGCATTTTATTTTTAATTGTACTTTAAATTTCATATAGCCAGTAGTGCTTCAAAATGTTACTCATACACAAAATAACAACAAAAGGCGCAGTAATAAGTCTGGTTGGAGTAGCAATGGTAACACAATATATGAGAGAAGACCTCATAAAATTTACAAGAAGTATACACGAGTTATACAGGACTCGTAATACATGTGTTTTGAAGATCCAAGTGTGTATCATAAAAGGTAATGAAAATTTCATCTTAATAAAATGACGAAAAGTATATTCAGAGAAGTGAGAGGAAAGCATCATCATCATAAGGGTAAACAATAGCGAGTAGTAGACTAACAAGACACTTGTGCATCGTTTGGCTATTTCCAAAACTTTAACTAATTTGAATATAGAGGTGATCAAATATTGGAGACAGTAGATGAATGGGAGCTTTTGAGGATGTAGTGATTCACCGATTGAACCCCAGCACGGGTCTTCAAGACCTAGTTTTAGCCTAGATGGAATTAGAGAGGTAGTGGACTGAAAACTACATTACTCAAGATACCCAATATTACTTATTCGCCAAGACAAGAGTCCTGACACGGGTCTTCATCTTGCAACGACCAGCATGAGACAAAGATACCCAACTGTTGCATATGTGTTTTATTGAACCCAATGGAAAGTATCACAAAACTTGACCTGGGTTCTAACTTAATACGTAACTGATACGAGCCGAAAAACGTTTATTTTATGTGAAGCGAGAAGCCCATGTGGGTTACCTCTAGTAGTAGTGAAGGTTTGATTTTCCGTCCGCTAATCTTGAGAGAGACGCTACCAACCTACTTGTTGAAAGGTTCAAGATGACAGACGCGCTACCAACGTACTTGTTGCTAGTTAAGGATTAAAACGAGAAATGTTTTCCTTGACAGAAATGCACCAGTGTCGAAACTTGTTCCATTTGGTGATGTATTTGTTGCCTTTCAAAGGAGCAGATGTAGTGTCTTGATGCTGGTGAGTAGCTCTTGGTCCAAAGAACTGGAATTCTGCTCCAGATCCTCGGGCCAAACCTCACTGCCTACTATATCCGAGGTACTCTGTGATCCTCACAGATTTAGCGCTTCCTCGTGAATATGGCAACCATTACATATATTTGTGTTCATATATAATTTTTCTTGCTCTAATAGGTAAGACATTATTAGTTATGATGCACATCTGTAACAGGTGTCCTCGCACCTGAAACAGGTGTTCACTCATTTTAACGTTCAAACATCTGTAACAGGTGTTCAGCACCAATAATAATGTCCAGGTGCCGTAACAGGTGTGCAAGCACCTGTAACAGACACCACGCAACGTTCTAAGACACTATTCCAATTTTGGTGTGTTCTCTATTTTCTTTTACGGATGACAACTTGAGATTGGAAATATAAACACATATGCAGTATAATGTGATCCTTTATTGACAACGTTTCACCCACACAGTGGGCTTTTTCAAGTCACACACAGATCCACCCCAGGTAGATCTGTGTGTGACTTGAAAAAGCCCACTGTATGGGTGAAACGTTGTCAATAAAGGATCACATTATACTGCATATGTGTTTATATTTCCACTGTGTCGGTGTTTGATACCATTTATTTCCACAACTTGAGAATGTCTCTTTGTATCGTCCTGTAACTTATCATACGTATGATTAAAACAATCTAGTGTCCCCTTAGAATTTTTTTCAGTTTAAACTCCCCTCTGGTAAACATTTATTTTTTTTTTCAAAAAACCATCGCGTGATATGAAAGCAAATAATCGGATACTGAGGCAACTTTATACACAACTTTCTTAATACCCGGTGATGTGCTGGGCAGTCTCAGCTAAGAATGAAAAAAAAACGGATTATATTATATTAAATTTCTTTTGGATTTTATTTGTTCATATATTTGGGATGATACATCAAGAATGGTTTGACAGCGTCGCGTCAATTTCGGCACGCGTGCCTCAAGCCTCTGCCATATATTGTATATATCTTAAATTTTTTAGGCATTCTTGTCGCAAATTTCACAGAAAATACTTTCGTTATATTTTCTGTGAATCGAGGTATCACACTGAACTGGGAATCCAACATTTCTTTTTTTTTTAGGTATGGGTAGGCTTCAAGCTCTCATACCGGTATACACATCCACGATATGTTTACCGGTATATACATTCACGATGCTACGTTTACCGGTATATACATCCACGATGCTATGTTTACCGGTATATACATCCACGAGGCTGTTTACAGATATATACATCTACGAGGCTATGTTCACCGGTATATACATTCATGATATATTTACCGATATATACATCCACGATACTATGTTTACCGGTATATACATTCACGAGGCTATGTTTACCGGTATATACATCCACGATGCTATGTTTACCGGTATATACATCCACGATGCTATGTTTACCGGTATATACATCTACGAGGCTATGTTCACGGGTATATACATTCATGATATATTTACCGATATATACATCCACGATACTATGTTTACCGGTATATACATCCACGATGCTATGTTTACCGGTATATACATCCACGATGCTATGTTTACCGGTATATACATTCACGAGGCTATGTTTACCGGTATATACATCCACGATGCTATGTTTACCGGTATATACATCCACGATGCTATGTTTAACGCAACACTTCCACACACCCAGAAAACTTCAATTTTAACATAGCAACTTCGCTGTGTCACGCTAATGAAACTGTATCAACCTCTAGATCACCTGATGCTAAACACATGTGTATGGTACAAACTACAGAAACTAGCATAAAACCTAAAGAAATAATGAAAAGACACAGGACTGTTTACCTCTGGGGACGCCAGGAATAATGAAGGTAGTGAGTGAGTAATTAACTTGGCGCTCACCAGATGGTAGCAGAGAAAATATTTCTGGCGCGGTTTTTCAAAGACGGAGAACCACACCTGCATGTCGCGTCCCTTGGGAAAATTTGTAAAGGTTTATAACTCTCCCCAAGTCCTCCATTTGGACTTGAAATTGAGAGCCACTGATATACATAACACAGACGCCACACTCACCATACACCATAAACCCAACACTCATCAAGTCAATGAAGCAAAATTTCACACCATTCTAGTCGTTTGTGTGTGTGTGTTTGCTCACCTATTTGTAATTGCAGGGGTCGATTCACTGCTCCTGGTCCTTCTCTTCGTTAGCCGCTACTAAGTCCACGCTCTCCCTGCTCCAAGAGCCTTATTGTACCTCATCTTCAAGCCATGTATGAATTCTGTGTGTGTGTTGAGGGTTCGGGTGCCAATGTGTATCTTGGTTCATAAGTGTTAACGTGATGACTGTGGCCGCAGTGGATAAAAATAAATGCTGAAAAAAGGACAAAGTGGTGAAAATAAGTAGAGATACGAGAATGAAGGTCGGAGACACAGAAAATGTTACGTTATAAATGAGTCAGTAATGAGAATGTTGTGCTAAGAATGGGGAAAGAAGAAAGTGGAGTGAAAGAATGAAACAGGTTGGTTAGTTTACGGGGTTCAAAGTCTATCAACACACACGGGTCACTGAAGCTGCGTGTCACCAGTCAAGAATTATTTAATCCCTAAAATATAGACTAAAATATATTCTCAGCGTATATACACTGAGAGACGTACACCTGTCGGTAAAACTAGCCCGAAGTGTTTAATTCTTAGAGCAAAAGAGGGGGTTTGAACCGAGGAATGAAAAAAAGGTAATGTCCACGAAGGGACTAAAGAAATTCAGCTAGCCGAACTGGACTTTTGAAAAGAGGTTAAACACAATCTTTGCTCTTTGAAAGTTGTGTGCGGACGTTGAGGCTGAATGGGTCAAGTTTGTAGCCATTGTCTGTACCCAACTGACACAAACCTCTAGTGAGCCAGTGCAGATGTGAATATTTTGTGGCTCAGAAGGGACAAGAGCTAGCTCTAATATCTAGGTGTTGGCCAAGTCGAGATTTCTCCCTACAAGCACTTCACAGGATCGCAGTTAGTGGCCATCGTCAACCCACCCAGGGCATGGTTGGTGAAACCATACGACTCTGTCAAGTGTAAATTCGATAGGCTTTAAAGCCGTTACTGCATGACAAAAACTACACCCTCAAAACCCACCCTCAGTGGTCAGGCTACTTTACCTTTCTACTCTCTCTCTCCTATCCTCCTCCTGTCCATCCCTCGCCATTCTTACCATCCTTCATATGGCTTAAAAAAAAAAAAAAAAAAAGCCTTTAAACCCAATAAATCTTTTAGTCACAGAAAACAAACTTGATTTATATATATATATTATATATATATATATATATATATATATATATATATATATATAATATATATATATATATATATAATATATATACAGTGGTCCCTCGCTTTTCGTAGTTCTCGGCAATCGTAAATTTCGCCAATCATAGGGGTATTTTCGTATAAACATGGACTCGCTTTTCATAGGTTGACTCGCGAATAGTAGTTCGTCCAGGACGGGTACGCACGGTGTGAGCCGGGGAGGCCTCCCTACCCAGCCAATCTGGCATTGTTTACCAGTGAGTGAAGGTCCCCTCAAGTGCTCCTACGAAATATTTCATAATATTCCACTCATTTTAGTGCTTGCAAGTACTAAATAAGCTACCATGGCTCCAAAGAAAGCTCCTAGTCTTGGGCCATTTTAGGGAAGTGTTAAAGAGATGCCAGAAACAGAGCTCTCTCCACAGTTACTTTGCGAGACAGGACTAGAGTGACTCTCAAGGTGGTCCTAGTGGCATTAAGAAACAGAGAAGAGAAGCAACCCCAGAGAAGCAATTGGTATCTGAGGTGTTGCTGGAAGGGGATTCCCCTTCCACACTGTAAACAATCCACTCTCTCTCCTCCTCCAGTCTCCCATACACTAAGAAGAATCTCCAATAAAGGTAAGTGTTATGCTGTTAATGTTTCATTCATCATTTCCCATTGTATTGTTTATGTACTACATGTATATTTCATGTAATTTTTTTTTGTTTTAATACTTCTGAGTGTCAGAAACGGATTAATTGTATTTACATTATTTCTTATGGGGAAAATTGATTCGCAAATCGTAAATTTCGTTTATAGTAGCTCCTCCAGGAACGGATTAATTACGAAAAACGAAGGACCACTGTATATATATATATATATATATATATATATATATATATATATATATATATATATATATATATATATATATATATATATATATATATATATATTTTTTTTTTTTTTTTTCAACAAGTCGGCCGTCTCCCACCGAGGCAGGGTGACCCAAAAAGAAAGAAAATCCCCAAAAAGAAATACTTTCATCATCATTCAACACTTTCACCACACTTGCACATTATCACTGTTTTTGCAGAGGTGCTCAGAATACAACAGTCTAGAAGCATACACATATAAAGATACACAACATATCCCTCCAAACTGCCAATATCCCAAACCCCTCCTTTAAAGTGCAGGCATTGTACTTCCCATTTCCAGGACTCAAGTCCGACTATATGAAAATAACCGGTTTCCCTGAATCCCTTCACTAAATATTACCCTGCTCACACTCCAACAGATCGTCAGGTCCAAGTACCATTCGTCTCCATTCACTCCTAGCTAACACGCTCACGCACGCTTGCTGGAAGTCCAAGCCCCTTACCCACAAAACCTCCTTTACCCCCTCTCTCCAACCCTTTCGAGGACGACCCCTACCCCGCCTTCCTTCCCCTATAGATTTATATGCTTTCCATGTCATTCTACTTTGATCCATTCTCTCTAAATGACCAAACCACCTCAACAACCCCTCTTCTGCCCTCTGACTAATACTTTTATTAACTCCACACCTCCTAATTTCCACACCCAAATTTTTTCTGCATAATATTTACACCACACATTGCCCTTAAACAGGACATTTTCCACTGCCTCCAACCGTCTCCTCGCTGCTGCTTTTACCACCCAAGCTTCACACCCATATAAGAGTGTTGGTACTACTATACTTTCATACATTCCCTTCTTTGCCTCCATAATAACGTTTTTTGACTCCACATATACCTCAACGCACCACTCACCTTTTTTCCCTCATCAATTCTATGATTAACCTCATCCTTCATAAACCCAAATCCGCCGACACGTCAACTCCCAAGTATCTGAAAACATTCACTTCTCATACCCCTCCTCCCCAATTTGATATCCAATTTTTCTTTATCTAAATCATTTAAACACCCTCATCACCTTACTCTTTTCTATGTTCACTTTCAACTTTCTCCCTTTTTCACCCCATTTCCAAACTCATCCACTAACCTTTGCAATTTTTCTTTAGAATCTCCCATAAGCACAGTATCATCAGCAAAAAGTAACTGTGTCAATTCCCATTTGAATTTGATTCCCCATAATTTAATCCACCCCCTCTCCCAAACACCCTAGCATTTACTTCCTTAACAAACCCATCTATAAATATATTAAACAACCATGGTACATACACATCCCTGTCTAAGACCTACTTTTACCGGGAAATAGTCTCCCTTTTCTACACCCCTAACCTGAGCTCACATCTTTATAAAAACTCTTTACAGCGTTTAATAATTACACCTATTCCTATACTTGCAAAAATCTGCACATTGCTCCTCTATCCACTCTATCATATGCCCTTTTCTAAATCCATAAATGAATAAAAACTTCCCTACCTTTATCTAAATACTGTTCACATATATCTTCAATGTAAACACTTGATCTACACATCCCCTACCCACTCTGAAACCTCCTTGCTCATCCGCAATCCTACATTCGTCTTACCTCTAATTTTTCAATTATAACCCTACCGTAACTTTTTTCCCGGTATACTCAGTAAGCTTATTCCTCTATAATTTTTACAGTCTCTTTTTGTCCCCTTTCCCTTTATATAAAGGGACTATACATGCTCTCCGCCAATCCCTAGGTACCTTCCCTCTTTTTATACATTTATTGAACAAAAGTACCAACCACTCCAACACTATATCCCCCCCTGCTTTTAACATTTCTGTCATGATCCCATCAGTACCAGCTGCCCTTTTCCCCCTTTCATTTTACGTAATGCCTCACGTACCTCCCCCACACTTACATTCTGCTCTTCTTTACCCTAAAAGATGGTATACCTCCCTGACCAGTGCATGAAATTAAATGCCTCTGTTTTCTTCCTTAACATTTAAAAGTTCCTCAAAATATTCTCGCCATCTACCTAATACCTCCATCTCCCCATCTTACTAACTCCCCTACTCTGTTTTTAACTGACAAATCCATATTTTCCCTTGGCTTTCTTAACTTGTTTAACTCACTCCAAAATTTTTTCTTATTTTCTTTAAAAAATTTTTCTTGACAGTGCCTCTCCCACTCTATCATCTGCTCTCCTTTTGCACTCTCTCACCACTCTCTTTACCTTTTCTTTTACTCTCCATATATTCTGCTCTTCTTAAAAACACTTCTGCTTTGTAAAAACCTCTCATAATACCTTTTTCTCTTTTATCACAACCCTTTTACTTCATCATTCCACCATCACTCCTCTTTCCTCCTGCACCCACCCTCCTATAACCACAAACTTCTGCCCCACTTTCTAATACTGCATTTTAAAACTTTTTCCAACCCTCTTCAACCCCCCATTACTCATCTTTGCACTATCCCACCTCTCTGGCCAATAGTCGCTTATATCTGCCCGAACTTCCTCCTCCCTTAGTTTATTTCACTTTCAAACCCCCCTCTTACTTGTTTGTTGCCACCTTCCTCTTTTCCCATCTACCTCTTACTCTAACTGTAGCTACAACTAAATAATGAAACCGATATATCAGTTGCCCCTCTATAAACATGTACATCCTGGAGCCTACCCAT